ACAGAGAGGTATGGGAATTAGACACTTGGAGAGTAACTCCAATACCCTAGGTACTATTATTATTCCAGTTCATAAAGTAAGGAAATTAAGGGCAGCAGGAGTGGAAATGAGGTAAACTGCTCACATCTACAATGCCAATAAATTCACGAGCAAGAAGAGAACACCAGGTCTGATTCCAGGGCCGAACTGATGCATGTTGATAGGTTTTTTAGGTCTGTTAAAATGCAGGTATCACATAGCCTTATCACTTCTACTTCTGCCTGAAGGAGCTGTCACTTCTCCTTCTACGAATACATTTTGTGAAGCCTGAAAGGGGAAGGAACACCAGGATTCTGGTTATGAACACCAGGCGAGACCTATGTGTAGAAAGTACTTAAAAATGTCTAATCAAATCTATTTGGACTGAGGAACCACACCAAAAAAGGGGAAAACCTAAGGTGTGATAAAAATTCCAACCCAGAATTATAAGAAAATGAGAACTACAGGACCCTAGAGGGACTCAGCCTTATGCCCACTGTTAGGTAAAGCCAGCCTGAGGTCTCCCACACAGAAAGAAGAAAAGGAATTTGGTTTTTTATCCTTTATGTGAATTGTAACACACCCTGTGGTCAAACGCAGTGGAAGCATTTTTCCATTCATAAAATTAATAAAAGAGACATGTTCTGTTTCATAGTTTTATAGCATTTGTTAACTATATATAAGTGCTTCATTGTAATTAACTTTAGAAGTCAAACAACTAGGTTAAATTATAAGTCTTAGAAGTCCAATTTTGGTGGAAATACCAATGTTAGCTGTAAAATGAGATTGACCTTGAGAATATAAGCACTGTAATAATAATACACACACCACATATGAGACTGGGTCTTAAAAATCTTAATGAAGGTTATTTAGATAGACCTAAACAAGACTGGAAGGAGCCCTGGCAGTGCAATGGTTAAGCACTCGGCTGCTAACTGAAAAGTCAGTGGTTCAAACCTACCAGCTGCTCCGAGGAAGAAAGATGCAGCAGTCTGCTTCTGTAAAGATTACAGCTTTGGAAACCCTATGGGGCAGTACTACTGTGTCCTACAGGGTCGCTATTGAGCTGGAATCTACTCAAGGGCAATGGGTTTGGCTTTGGTATAAAGAAGATTGAAGGAGCCCTGGTGGTGCAGTGGTTAAGCACTCAGCTGCTAACCAAAGGAATAGTTGGCAGTTCGAACCCACCAGCCACTCCAGGGGAGAAAGAGGTGGTAGTATGCTTACGTAAACGTTGCTGTTAGGTGCCAAAGAGTTGGTTCTGACTCACAGTGACCCTACATACAACAGAACAAAACAATGCTCGGTTCTGTACCATCCTCACAATCGTTGTTATGCTCGAGCCCATTGTTGCAGCCACTGTGTCAAACCATCTCATCGAAGGTCTTCCTCTTTGTCCCTGATCCTGACTTTACCAAGCATGACATCCTTCTCCAGGGACTGGCCCTTCCTGATAACATGTCCAAAGTACATGAGACAGTCTTACCATCCTTGCTTCTAAGGAGCATTCTGGCTGTAATTTTCCAAGATGGATTTGTTAGTTCACCTAGCAGTCCAGGGTATATTCAATATTCTTCGCCAAAACCATAATTTGAAGACGTTAACACTTCTTCGGTCTTCCTTATACACTGCCCAGCTTTCGCATGCATATGAGGTGATTAAAAATATCGTGGCTTGGGTCAGGCTTACCTTAGTCCCCAAAGTGACGTGATTGCTTTTTAACTCTTTACAGAGGTCTTTTGCAGCAGATTTGTCCAATGAAATACTTTGTTTGCTTTGCTGACTGCTGCTTCCATGGGTGTTGACTGTGGATCTAAGTAAAATGAAATCCTCAACAATTTCAAACTTTTCAAGATGTTGCTTACTAATCCAGTTGTGACTTTTCTTTTTGTTGAGGTGGAATCCATACTGAAGGCTACGGTCTTTGATCTTCATCAGTAAGTGCTTCAAGCCCTCTTCACTATCAGCAAGCAATGCTGTACCATCTGCATGTCGCAGGTTGTTAATGAGTCTTCCTCCAATCCTGATGTCATGTTCTTCATACAGAGCAGCTTCTCGATTATTTGTTCAGCATACAGACTGAGTAAGTATGGTGAAACGATACAAACCTGACGCACACCTTTCCTGACTTTAAACCACACACAGTATCCTCTTGTTCTGTTTGAACAACTGCCTCTTGGTCTAAGTACAGGTTCCTCATGAGCACGATTAAATGTTCTGGAATTCCCATTCGTCACAATGTTATCCATAATTTGTTATGATACACACAGTCAAATGCCTCTACATAGTCAATAAAACACAGGTAAATATTTTTTGCCTATTCTCTGCTTCAGCTGAGATCCATCTCACATCAGCAATGACATCCCTCATTCCATGTCCTCTTCTGAACTCAGCTTGAACTTCTGGCAGCTCCCTTTCAGTGTACTGCCATAACTGCTTTTGAATGATCTTCAGCGAAATTTTACTTGTCTGTGAAATCAGCAATGATTTTCCACATTCTGCTGGATCACCTTTTTGGAACGGGCACAAATATGGATCTCTTCCAGTTGGTAGGCCAGGAAGCTGTCTTCTGAATTTGTTGACATAGACAAGTGAGCATGTCCTGTGCTGCATCTGTTTGTTGAAACATCTCAATTTGTATTCCATCAATTCCTGGGGCCTTGTTTTTTTTTTCGTTTTTGTTTTTTTTTGTCATTCCCTTCAGTGCAGCTTGGATTTCTTCCTTCAGTACCATCAGTTCTTGATCATATGTCACCTCCTGAAGTGGGTGAACACTGATCAGTTCTTTTTGGTACAGTAACTCTTGTGTATTCTTTCCATCTTCTTTCCTGCATAATTCAGTATTTTCCCCCATAGAATCCTTCAGTGCTTCAACTCGAGGCTTGAATTTTTTCTTCAGTTCTTTTAGCTTGAGTAAGATTACAGGCGTGGAAACCCTACGGGGAAGTTCTACTCTGTCCTATGGGGTCACTATGAGTCGGAATTTATTCAAGGGCAACGAGTTTGGTTTCGGTTTTTAAACAAGATTAAAAGCAAGCTTTCAGGAGGAGATAAACTTTGCAATTCATTCAATATTCTCTTTGATACTAGTTAGCATTAATGATTGGAATAAAAAAGTTCCAGAAAAAATATTAAAAGGAATCTTCATAACTGAAGTCAGTATTAATAAGTCACACTTACAGTTAATATAATAAAAATATCTCACCCATACTCTAAGAAACTGTAACCTCAATTTTTGAAATGGTAACCACCCCCCCCGAAAAATTAGCAGTGTTCTAGGACCGAGAAATTAGGTCTATAGTAATACTGAAATTGCACAACATATTATCTAAAAGAACCCCAAAATAAAAGGTCTTCAATGAATTGGCTGTGATAATTATTATAATTTTAAGTATTTCTGAAGTCTAGTCAGGAAGTAAATTATAACATGCTACTAAAATATAGCCAGTCGATTAATGTCAGAGCTCATTCCTACTCTCTTCTCAACACAAATGTGATCACGTATGAATGAAAAGTAACAGAGGCTAAAGGAAAAGGGAAAAGAAATCACTAAAAATTAAATAACAGTAGATCCCTCTATTCAGGATTCTAGATCATAGAAAAATTCTTTTGAGAATAATAACTCTCCATTTTCAGAGAAGATTATAAAATGCTTTTGTAAGTGCTTTCTCTTGGGTGGTAAAAACACAGAAGTGCTTGACTACTACCCAAAAGGCTGGCGATTCAAATGCACTCAGAGGTGTTTCAAATGACAGGCCTGGTGATCTGCTTTCAAAAGCCCACAGACTTGAAAACCTTACGGAGTACAATTTTATTCTACACACGAGTTCACCGTGAGTCGGAATCAACTCGAAGGCAACAGGTTTGGTTGTTAGTTTCCCTTCTATTTACATCCTACTCAGATTGGCAAAGAGTCATGGCAACCCACCACCTCCTTTGTTTTTTTTAATGATACACTGGAGTCTTGACTCTTCCTATCCTGGCTACTCTAGATTATCACTGAGGGTAAATACTGTTGCCCAAAGTTTTCATTATAACTTTACCTTCACACACACCACATAGAACCGAACAAACACAGGAGTTGAGTATATGTCATACATCACACTTCTTGCTTGTTTCTTGAACACAGTATAGGGTGAGCTCACCAACTGCAGGCCACTATTTTGAAGGAATAGATTACTCCCCTAAAATACAATTTAAGATAAACAGAGAGGAACAGACTTCTAATATTACAATCTTCAAAACAGACAAAGATTCCTTTGGCAGAAGGAATATGAGAATGATCTGATCTCACAGCAAAAATACCATGAAAGCAAATACAGAAAAATACATTACCACTCCGCCAAGGGCCTACTAATAGTTCTGGACTGAATTATTTCTGTTGCTGGCTCTTTGATTTCTAGAATGCATAAATTCTCTCTCAGATATATAAATGATGGTGGTGATATCCTCCAAGACAGAACTCAAGATGTGTGGGAGTTTTTTTTCAGTTTTATGGGAAAATAATTTGCTTTGTAAGAGTGAACTGGGTTTGGCAGTTTTAAGTACATGAGTTCATTTAATCTGGCTGCATAGGGTGTACTGTCCTAGAAAACAACTAATTCCAACAACTGATTTATTATCTGCTATGATTAGGAAACTTTTTTTTCCAAATAGTTAAAAAAAAATACAGTGCTGATTCTCCCACCAACAAGTTATTAATGGGTAGCAATTTTTCGCAGATGAAATAAGGAAAGGTGAAATAAATCTCTTGAAAATTGTCTCGTGGCACATTAAAATTAAATCATTACTTAGAATCTTCTTCCTGACTTCTTTTAAGTTCAAGTTTTAATGAGCTTCTGATTATTTATAACTTGGAGATAATTAAAGACCTGCAGGGAAGTGCTACACTAAGCAAAAAACACTGCCCAGACTTTTATGCTACCTAATATCAGAAGAGTTTATAAGCAGATTCTTTCACTTCTGCTTTACATATTTCTTACCTTGGTTCCTTCTAAAGGCAAATCATGGCATCTATGTTTCCGTAGAATCACTGGGTCAGGGCCCATTCTACTATGTCTGCCATTTACATTTGAACTCGCTGTGATTCCAGGCTTGGGGGAGCCATCCCCTAGTAGTCGACATCCCACCAACTGATTAGTCCCAAACACATCTCGAGGGCACCAGGCTTCGAGAGGCATGGGCTGGTCTCTGGAAGGCACACTTTCCACATGATGGAAGTGTCGACTCAGTCTATTGTCAGGAGGGATTGGCGGAGGTCTCTCCGGCGGAGGGGGAGGAGGATCTCTTAAGGGAGGAGGTGGTGCTGGGAGTGGTTTATCTTGTTTCCTCACCATGCAAGGAGATGACTACAGAGACACAAGAGAAAAATAAAAAATTAAAGTTGTGCCACGCACTTCAATGACTTCTGAACTGGCATTTTATTGCTTTTGTTTTCTAAGCCATACTGGAGACTTACTAGGTTTCTATGCCATATTTTAATAGGTATTTTTTTTATAGCTATTTAATGATTTTTTTTAAAAAAGGAATGAAAAATTTAAAAATGTGCATATATATTTCATTAGGATTTTCTTGTAGAAATAAGTACGTAAAATCAAATGTTATGTTTATAAAAATGATACAGAAAAAAGTAACAGAATATCAAAATTATATAATGGGTCTGAATGAATGACACTAAATAATGTCATGATAATAGTTAACTTTTTGCACATGTCTATGACTTAGGAAATACAGAGAAACTCATCATCCAGAAACTTGTAAAGTTGTTGTCATCACAATTTTTAAGAGAGCAAATTGATTTTTAGTATTTCTGGAAGAATGAAAATTGTGTTTTTTTGTTTTTCTGGGTTTTTTTCCACTGTAATAGAGAAACTCACATGAAGCAAATATGTTTGTTTTTTGTTTTATCGGTTATTACTAGTATAGTTAAAAAAAATCACAAATAATAAGACAACATTGTTTAGAGAGCATGCTTGAATTTTATGGCTCCTAAAATTTAAAAAAAAAAAAATCAGTCTGATTCTTACATGGAAATATGAATGTATAGGCCCCTGAATTGAATCTATGTACCTTTCATAGCTTTTGATTTTTATTTATACAGTTCATCTGATAAATGACTTGTGTTTTTAATGTTAGGAAATATGAGAGAAAAAAGGAATCTGATGTGTGTGTATATATACTCAATACCAAGTTAACTACAATGCATGAAAATCAAATACTGCTAAGAATATTGTGCTTACTACTAATTGTAGACTGTAAAGCATGTTACCAAATGGAAGATTAATTTAAAAAATCTTGTATTTAATAAAGCAAAATACAAACTTATTATTAAATTTGGGAAAAACTCTGTATAGAACTAAACTAGTAAACCATGGGTTTAAATTTATAGAGTTAAAATTATGTATTTAATGTTAAACAGTAATGTAATTACTTTACAAATATTGTTAATTCTTTGTAATTAATTCCTCCAGGTATAAAAAGCACATATAATTCTCTTTGCTAAGTCACCTTGAAACATGGATGGTAATTTATCGCACCTTAAGAATTTATGCAAATATACTCCCACCACATCTTGTCATGACACTATGAAAATGAGTGTAAAATATCATTTGATAACAGCTTGCAATTTAGTATAATGCATATAATGACCTTTTAAATCTATTTTACAGAATAACTACACTTACTCTGTTATTTATTTTAGCAAATCAGGGGACTATTACAGACATGTGAGCTCTCTGAATAATTATGTAACTTTATGGTAATAAAGTAAGATATTTGACAGTGGGCTCACTATCTATAAAACTAGACACCCATTACAGTTGTTTATAAATAATGAAGAGCACAAGAAATATGAGTAATGGAACTTAAAAGAACCTGAGCAAGCAATAATAATTGTCACACAGAATTATTTTCTGTGTTTCTAATAAAATTGATTTACCTTTGGTGAACCAGTTGGGCTGCTGCAGGGAGACCGAACTATCCCTTTCTGAATGAGATCCAGGCGAGGAGGCACTGGTGGCAGGATTAGATGTGGGATCTGAAGAGGATCTGGGTGGGGCTTTCTTCTCTGTGCAAGGGGAGAAGATCCTGGGGATGTGACTGGTGAGTTTTGCCTGTCAGTGCACTGGAACAGAGAAAAAGCAGGACACTGCTGTTTATTTCATGTGTTCAGCGTACTCCTTTCAGCTCTTAAGGAAGACATCTAGACTCACAGAGGTGTCTGCCATTGAACATCTGTTAAAATAAGCTCCCTTGGTTTACTCTGATTGATAGATGGAAAGAACTTGCATTGTCCCTCAAGGGCGGTATTACATAAAGAATAAACTGATCAGGTTCTCCTACATACTGCAGAAAGGGCCTAGGATAAAACAATAGCAAAAAGTGTAGTTTAAAAGATAATCAAACCCATTCTCCAAGAAACCTGTCTGTATTTTTTAAGAAAACCAGAAAGCTATCCTCAAGGCTTTTTGGTTTGGTCTTTATGCACTCACTGTTCTTTAATCTGACTAAGATAAAAAGATTTGTGTATATATCCACACTTAGGTACACTGTATAAAGTTTTTTTTTTTTTTTTTTAAATTAACCAAAGTCCATACTTGGTTTAGATTTCCTTAGTTTTTACCTAATGTCCTTTTTTTCTGTTCAAGTATTCCATCCATCCTGGATACCACATTACACTTAGTTGTCATGTTTCTTTTCTTGTTTTCGATGACCCTGACAGTTTTGAGGAGTACGGGTCAAATGTTTTGTAGGATGTTCCTCTGTTGGAATTAGTCTGATGTTTTCCTCATGGTTATCAACAATTAACCAGTTGCCATTAGGCCGATTCCCACTCACAGTGACTCCATGTATGTCAGAGTAGAACTGTGCACCATAGGGTTTTCAATAGCTGCTTTTGGAAGTAGATCATCAGACCTTTCTTGGGAGATGCCTCTGGGTGACTCTGAACCTCCAACCTTTCAGTTAGCAGCCGAGAGCGTTAACCATTTTATACTACCCAAGGACCCAGACTGGGGTTATGTGTTTTGGGGAGGAAAACCACAGAAGTAACATGCCATTTTGACCATATTATATTAAAGGTACATAATATCAACATGACTTCTCACTGTTGATGTCAACTTTGATCATCTGGCTGAGGCAGTAGGTGTCAGGTTTTTTTTACTGAAAAGTTTTTTTTCCTTTTCCCTGACCACACTGTACTCTCAGTAAGGAAGTCACTATGTGCAGCCCACAGTGAAGTGGTGGGAAGCTATGCTTATAAACGCTTTTAAAAAAGTTTTGAGAACCTTCTAGACCATACCTCTGATAAAACATCAGACCTGAATACTATCATGATATTACTAAACTATCAAGTCTTTGTCTCTCTCAACTGGTGCCAAATAAAAGAGGTCAATAAAATTAAGTATAATTTTAACATGACAATTTTAAGAACCTTTCCTTTTTAGTAATTTCTTGATTCTTCTTCATATCTCCTAGCTTCTGATAAGGTAATTGTTTTTCAACTGTTGCTAAATTGAAGGAGAAAAAGTAGAAACTCTATAGTCTCACCTGATTTTAACATAGTCAGTGATTCTTAACAAAATAGCAATCCTATCCAGAAAGTCATGGGGCCTCACATGATCATAATTGTGAACCTCAGGGCATAAAATCTATCCAAAAATTATCAGAGAGGGAACAGAAAGAATTTCTGATGTAAGGCTGATGTAAGAATATAGGAGAAAATGAGGAGATGTCAGAGGATATCCAATTCCCCACAACTCTCATTAGGATAAATTACATCCTCTGAGAACTTGCAAAACTGTTACCTAACACAAATGCTTTGTTGACCTATCTAAGACTCTTTACAAAGAAGAATCAAGAAACATAGCTATCCATGGTTCCTAGCCCAATCAATTTTTTCTATGCATACTGAGAATGTATGCGACCCTATGTGCAAGAGAACAAAACTCTGCCTGGTTCTGCACCCTCCTCACAATTGTTGCTATGTTTGAGCCCACTGTTGCAGCCACTGTGTCAATTCATCTTGTTGAGGGTATTCTTTTTGGCTGACACTCTACTAAGCATGATGTCCTTCTCCAGGGATTGGTCCCCCGATAACAAGTCCAAAGTACGTAAGACAAAGTCTTGCCTTCCTCGCTTCTAAGGAGCATTCTAGCTGTACTTTTTCCAAGACCAGATTTGCTCGTTCTTCTGGCAGCCCATAGCATATTCAATATTCTTTGCCAACACCATAATTCAAAGGCATCAATTTTTCTTCACTCTTCCTTATTCATTGTCCAGCTTTCATATGCACGAGACGACTGAAAATACCACAGCTTGAGTCAGGTGACCTTAGTCCTCAAAGTGACATCTTTGCTTTTTAACACTTCAAGAGGTCTTTTGCAGCAGATTTGCCCAATGCAATATGTTGTTTGATTTCCTGATGGCTGCTTCGATGGGTGTTGACTGTGGATTCAAGTAAAATGAAATCCTTGACAACTTCAGTATTTTCTCTGTTTATCATGATGTTGCTTATTGGACCTGTTGTGGGGATTTTTGTTTTCTTCATGTTGAATTCTAGAGTAACAGAATTTTCCCCTGTACAGGCAGTCAAGAGGTACCATAAATATCTCTAAAGTTGGGGCAAAGGGATGTGACAATTCATGTTTAGGCTACCAATTTATATCTTCCCCAGAGGTGACTGGATAATCAGACATATCTCTAAAACGCAACCTTGCTTTCAGCCTTCTCCTTCCACAATTTTAATCCACACCCCAAGATCACCCAGGCCATTACTTTACTTCTGATGCTGTGATAAAAAGTTGTTGGGGGAAAATATAAAAACAAAAGTAAAAACCAAAACAAAACATGGACCCAATCATCTGGGTCAGGCTGAAATTCTAACAATGTGAAGTGTGCTAACTTAATCATCTCTTACTGATTTGTCTAGTATTGCTCACGATTACTACTTTTAAAACCATCTCCATTCTGTATAGTAATGCAGACTTAGACCGAATGTGTAAGACATCTTGGGCAGAAGATTAAGAAAGATCAAGTTGTGAGAGAATAAATTTCTGTTTGTTAAAGCCAAAAAAAGATAAAGAAGATTACAATTGTGAATAATAAGAAAGTATTTTTTAAATAGGAATATATTTCTTTGATTGGAATATGTGAATTTTAAGTGTGGTTAACTGTCAAAACAGACTCTAATGCCAACTCTTTATAAATAACAAGGATCTTTAAAAAACATATTAATTAAATGTGTAATCTGACTTCAAATAACTATATTTCCTATCTATACCAATTTTAGCTATACTGCCTTGGGCATGCCACCCCCTACTGATATTGTTACCTGTAGTGTGCAGAATAAAGTTAATCCACTTCATGAAGACATTATGTGGTTTAATATAATTAAATAATATATGATAAAATAAAGGCTGCTATAAAATATTCAAATTTTATTTGGATAACATGCTTAGTAAAAATGATTATTTTGATATAAAAAGTAAAATGCAATCTATTACAACATCTGTAAAGGTCCCATCATGTTCAGTATCAAAGAAATCTTTAAACAAAGTGCCCACACATTATTTTGTCCAAGACGATTCCTCTTTCTATCAAGTCTAAATGAAGCAATAGTAATAAAATCAAATATCCTAAAAAAGAATGAAACTAAAAGTCTTACAATGCATCTTAAAGTCAAACAGAAATGCCTCTTGGATTATTTGCTGTAATTAACATTGGCCATTCATTCCCATTAGTCTAAATATCTAGAATTGACTTTAGCACAAATTTTTCTTTTTCCTTCTTGCTCTAAAGAGTACCTTGAATGCACAAATAATAAATAGTAAAGGCAAAAGTGGTTTGGGAGTTGGAGAAGTTTCACGAGTTCAGGGACTTGCATGTTGTAGAACTGTTTACCATAATAAGTGAGGTTTACTGGTTCTGGAGGAGCCCCCAGGTGTTGCAAATGGTTAAGCACTGGGCTATTAATAGAAAAGCTGGCAGTTCAAACCCACACAGAGGCAACTCCGAAGAAAGGTTAAGATGTTCTTCTTCCGAAAGGTCACAGCCTTGAAAACCCTATGGAGCTCAGTTCTACTCTGACACAAATGGGGTCACCACGAGTAGGACTTGGCTTAATGGCAACTGGAAAACTGGTTTCGGCATTTCTCTCTTTGTGTCTTTTCACTTCTGTTTTCATTTCATTCCATTCACTTGTGTGTCCTCATTATAAACAACATAACTTCACTGTAGATACTTTTAGAATTATGGGAATGTATGAAGATGTTTTTTGAAACACCTACGCACAGCCAGAGGTGACGGTGATAGGGTTTCTTCCAGTCTCTCTTCTAAGTACTATTTTCATCACTGATCACTAATAACATATACAACTTTTAATATAATCTGTATTGCACCAAAAAATGTTTAACTGCTATTAAACATTTTCCCTGAACATAATTTTAAAAGGTACATTTTATGGACATATCAGCATTTATATAACCACTCCTTTGCTGTTCACAATTTTTCTTTATTATAAAGATGTGTCATAAAAAAACTGAACATATATACTTTTTAAGGAGGGAACCACAGAATTTTCTTTGAGGACAGCATAATAGACTCATAACTGGATCAAAGTTTATGAATAATCTTTAGGCCTTTTTGCTGCCCAGTAAGGACACTGCAGTTTATTCTTCTACCAGTCCTATAAGATGGTAAATAGTTCAAAAACCTCATGAACATTGAGTATTTTTAGTTTTCGCTTTTTGTGACTTTGATACTTGACAGGCATTCCAGTGGCCTATGCTGATGTTCAAATCTGCATTTCTTTGACAAATAGAAAAAAACATTGCAGTATTTGTTAGCCATGTGTATTTTTTCCCCCAGCTTACTGACTTTTTATATTCTTTTCTCCATTATCCGCAGTAACTTTTTTTCTCCTTTGTTGATCTGAATGAAATCATTGTACATTTAATATAACCCACTGCCGTCAAGATGATTCACTATGAATACACTAGTATAGCAACTCTTTATCTGTTAGAATTGCTGCAAATACTTTTTCCCCAGTTTAATTTCTTTTTAAAAAAAATTTTATGGCAGAGATTGCACCTCTGCTCAACTGGCTTTGCACTACTAATGAGCATC